TTACAAAGAGACACAGAACAGTTTTTTGGGTGATAAATATGTTCGCCATGTTGACTGCTGTGATGGTTTCACAAGTGTATACATATGTCAGAACTTGTCAAATTGTATGCTTTAAATATGTAGAGTTCATTGTGTGGCAATTATACCACATGAAGCTGTAAAAACAAACAAAATCAAGAGTCAAGCAATGTCAGCATATCCTCCTTCCTATTTTTTAAAATGCAGTTTATTTGTTGAAGGAACTTGGTGGTTTGTCCTGTAGAGTTTTCCACATTCTGCATTTTATTGGCTGAAAAAAAAATCCTTATCTTTTAGAACTATGTAATGAAGTATATACATTTATATTTTTTATGGGTGAAATCCATGTGAAGGGTATGGAAAAGGAGATTGGCCATATGGTAATACTTGTTCAAGCTGAGCGATTGGCACATGAAGACATTATACTATTCTACTTTTTATGTGCTTAAACATTTTTGTAACAAAAAGTTAAAACCCTGAGTCCCATCCCAGAGTTACTGAATCTTATAGAGGTTGAGTATAGAAGTCTGCACTTTAAAACAGACTCACAGACATAGAAAACAAACTTACGGTTACTAGGGTGGGAAGAGGAGGGTGGAGGGATAAATTGGGAGTTCAGAATTTGCAGATACTAACTACTATATACAAAAGAGACAAACAACAAGGTCCTACTGTGTAGCACAGGGAACTATACTCAATATCTTGTAATAGCCTATAATAAAAAAATGAAAAGGAATATGTATATAAAACTGAAACAGTATGCTATACACTAGAAATTAACATAATATTGTAAACTGACTATACTTAAATAAAAAAATTAATTGAGATCTGCACCTTAAAAATAAACTCCCAAGGTGATTTTGTTATATATTAAAGAGGATCACTGCCTCAGACTGAAGAAAAGGATTCTGATGGTGAGATGAATTTCAGACATCTGCCACAAGGTATGGGAAAAAGGTTTTGGAGGTGTCCTTTTTATTCCTTATCAAACTGCGAAAGTTTGCAGTACATTGCTATTCTTCAGAGAGACATTTATGGATCTGCCTGTCTCTTCTACTGCTGAGGAAATTTTACATAGTATTTGATTTGGTTCTTTTTTTTTTTTTTTGAGTGAAGGTAGATTTACTTAGAGAGATACATATTACATAGAGTGCAGGCTGTTTCAAAGGCCATGAGGTGTGGGGGTTGGGTGTTCAGGTTAGAGTAAAAGTAGATACACACTCCACAGAGTGTGGGCTGTTTCCAAAGATGAGGCAGTAAGAGAGGCAGCCTCGAGGCAAGGTGTTGCATTTTTATGAGCTCCGTAGCTTCATATGCTAACAAAAGGAAGGACCATTCCAACTACCCCGGGGAAGGAGCTGGGATTCCCAGGAATTGGCCACTGCCCACTCTTTGACTTTTTACAGTTAGCCTTGGAGATTTGGTTCTTATTCAGTCTTAAAAGAGTGATTGCAATATAGGTTTGATTTATCATATGGGCTTAGTATGATTAAATTAATTACTCTGAATTTTAGCCCTACATAGAACTATGATATATAAAAGTTTGTCTTCTGAATCTATAGTCTCTTCTGTTACATCTTCGCTCTCTGTGATTCCTTCCTTCCTCAGGCTCCCAGTGTTGCTTTTTCTACCTTCCCACTAGTAAAAAGCTGCTCAAAAACCATATGAAACTCATTTATACAAGATTACTGAGTAGAGTCATGAAGTACTCTTCTCAGGGTAAGTTGATTTGAATAGGGCAAAGGATTTAACTCAAAGTTTTAAAAAAAGTGTAGTGATAGATTCTTAGGCATCAGGTAATCTGGTTAGGGAAGGATAGTGGTCAAGTTCCTGTCAAGACCTTCTAAGATTTTACCAAGTTGGTTGTCACCTATTTATTCCATTGAAAGCATATCCTTAGAAGAGCCATATAATGCAACTACAGCTTCTTCTTCTGTAATTTCATGGAAAATTTAGCTTTGGCTGCAAGTAATAAAGAGCCAAATTCAAACTTTTTTTTTTTTAAAAGCTAAGAAAATTTACTGGCTCAGGGAATTTACTAATTCCAGAGGATGGCAGCAGGTTTCAATCTGGGTTTGAGCTCCTCCGCCATGTGTCAGCTTTTCCCTCAGGCTGGCTTCCCTCGTGGTAGCAAAGTGGCTGCAGTAACTACAGGACTCACATCTACCCATTACACCAGCTAGAGTAAGAGCGAGAACACTTTTCTTCTCCCAGCAAACACAAGATCTGGCCTGGCTTATGACTGGACCAATTTAGACCTGTGTTAAGGTCTATCACTGACAGAGTAAGGTGAGGATCTGATTAGGCTGACTATGTACCTTAGTCAGAGTCTGCACTTGGAGGTGGAACTGGGCCTATTCCCATTCAAATTATTAGCAGCCTCACAATTGCAGAGGGGCGGATATGGACATCTGCGAGTCAACCAGTAATGCTCATGATAAAAGCAATATAATATGCCATTCTGTTAAATACCATAGTTTAAACACTTCCATTTTTGTTCAACAGTTAACTTGTTTCCTGTTTTTTGATATTATGATATTTTAAATGGGGAACTGCAGACCTACATGAAGGAGACAGGGCAGTGTAAGGTACAATAGGGACTGTAGAGATTTTGGGAAAAGAGAGAATACTTGTCCTGTAGTTTCCTGTCATTCTGTGAAAAGATAAGCCCACTGCTACCAAATCTTTGACTTTTTAAAGAGAAGCCTGAAAAGCATATGAAATCTTCTGGCTTTTAACTTTGGCTTATTTTTTAAGCACCATGCCAACCAAGCAAAATGTGTTTGTGGGTTAGATCTGGACCTAGACCACCAGTTTCTGTCATGTTATGAATCATACTAGAATATTTTATAACATTTTCCCTCAAAATGAGAGCTTTAGTCCTTTCATGGACCAGGGCTGCTAGTATAGGACTAATGCTAAGGAAGCCATAGTGGGGAGAGAAGTGAGCAGCACACAGTATATGAGGAAGGCGTTGTTGTGAGTTCTTTGGCATGTACCTAGAACTGTTTTCCTGGTGGTGAGGATGGACTTGTACCAAATCACCTTCACTGCCTCTTATCTAGGTTCTGTTGTGACTTGTCCCTTATCTGGGTTCTCCTGTGACATCTCTTATCTAAGTTCTATTGTGAGGAACAGTTCAGTTTTACAGAATGACCCCTGGTGATTAGAGGTGTAACACGTGGCCACGGGACAGAGATTTTCTTTGCTTTGTAGCAAGCTGGCACATCAGTAATCCTATAATGGGGACTTAGATGCTATGCTCTACTTTAATAGAGAACTAACTGGAAACAGCCAATGGAGGACATTATTGTTGCTGCTAAAGGCATATGGAACTGAATTTGGGAACACTAAACCTATTTTAGATATATGACTTAAATTTTTTTTCCTTTTTTGGGGGGCTGTTTCTTACTGAGTGCAGATAATTACCATAGTGTTACCCTTTTTGTCAAAACTCTTCAGTTAGCAGATATTAGAAGGCAGAAACTGCCTTTTTCACCTGTTGACTTTCATAGAGTGCCTTGTGTAACATTTATTTAGAGAGGAGGCTTAGTACCTACTTGCTGGCTTATTTATTAATAGATATAGATGATCTGAGTTATTCTAATAAATATAATGATTTGAGTTATTCTAACCTTTATTAAATATCAAATGTCCAGCATTTACTGAATCAGGCCCAGAGCTTGGTAGACTCTTGGGATACAGAGGTTAAAGGACCTTCTGGGAAGGAGCCCAGCAGGGAGGGGAAACGCAAAATAGTTGCAATACTCTTGATATGTCCCAGCATCTATAGACATTTAAATTAGGAAAAGGGGACGGTGGCGGGGGGAAAGGTGGGAGAAAAACTTGAGAGGTCTCTTTGGAAAAATGTATTTCTTAGGGTAGCTTTTGCATCTAGTGAGGAAATGAGTGCAGGGGAACCCAAGTGGGACAGAAGAGAGACTTAAACTAAAGAAGTCATTCTAGAGCTCAAATCACTGGACATACACGTAACTCTTACTGCAGTGTCTTAACTTATTCACACATTTACGGAGTACTTTCTATGAGACAGACACTATGCTAGACATGATGGAAGATAAAAATGAAGCAGGTCTTCAAAGATTCTCTGGTGAGGTAAAATATTGCACAGATTTAGCTAGATAAGGCTGAATATATTAGGTGCCACAAACCTATAGAAACAAAGGGCTAAGGAAATTCCAAATTTCCTGGTCACTTCTGGCTGCAGGATCTTGGAAGGATGCCTACAGTTCAAGGATCGGTACAATCTTAGCAGAGGAAAAAGAGTTGCCTTATTTTTACCTCTACTGGTAGTCTGTACCCCCAAGTTAATTTCCTCAAAGGATAAAAAGGTGCAAATGAGGGGACGTTTTCTTCATAGAAATACGTTAGTCCTTAGCGCTTTCCTGTTAATTCCCCACAGGTTTTTTCCCCTCTTCAATCCCCCGAGTCCCAGGGAACAATTCAGCAAAGGAGCGCTTCATAAGCACACGAGACACCTTGAAAGGGGAACAGAAAAGAGCAACTGGCGAGAAAAGTTAGTATTCTTTAAGGTGACTTCCCTGAGGATTACTGGGCATTAAGAATAAAAATATATTTCGGCCAGGTTTATGAGCAAGAACACAAGCGCCCCTAACTCAGAATTAGCTAAAAGCTCGGTATCCGCTGGGCAGCGCAACTCGCCCGGGGCTCGCGGCCGCCCTCAGCGAGCCCGCGCGGGCTGCCTCCCCGGCGCGGCTAGCCCTCCAGGAAGTGCTAAGGGCGGCGAGCGCCTCTCGCCCCTTCCTGGGTCCCTTCTCTTTAACAACCCAGGTCTCTCAGGTCTTCGACTTCCCCGCCCCCAGCCCTACCGCGGCCAGGCGGGGACGTGTATGCGCGTGCGCGCCTCCGCCCACAAGAGCGCGCACGCCGCGCCGAGCCGCCTCCTCTGCCCGCCCCTCCCTCGCCTCTTCCTGCCGGGCGAGCCTCCTCCCCTCCTCTCTCCGCTCCCTCCGCCCTGCTCCCTCCGCCCTCCCAGGGCTCCGGCGGCCGCGGAGTGAACGGAACGGGACGGGCCCGGCCGCAGAGCGCGGGCCGGCGGGTGGGACGCGGGCGCCTGGCGGAGTTGTTCCGGCCCTGTCCGCGGAGACGTGAGGAGGTGAGGCGAGGGCGGCCTCCTAGGGGCCGGCAGGCGGACGGGCGGCTCGGAGTCGCGGGCCGGGCTGGGGGTTTTGGCGCCCGGGCTGAGCCGGGGGAGGGTTGTGGTGGGAGCCGGGCCCGGGACAGGATGCGAGAGGACCCCGAGAGGAGGGCTCGGGGCGGTTCGGGACTGTCGGTCGCTCCCCGGACGTCGCGGTTCTCCTGGGTGGCGGCTCCTCGCGGCCCGGGCGGGCGGGCAGGCAGGCGGGTGGGGTCGTCACCCCTCACCTGGGGGGGCGGGGTGTTGACTTGGGTGCTCGCCTCCAGCTGTGCCCTGTGACATTGCCGCCGCCTCCGCCGCCCGCTGCTGTGCCGTAGCTGCTGCCGCGTTCGCAGTCCCAGTGGCCCCACGTCCGGGGGGCGTGTGTTTAGGATATTTTCGTACCCACATTCAGGCAATCTGTTCGTGACCGCGTCTCGCCCTCGCGCTCCCCCTGTCTCCGCCCGGCACTTTGCTCTCTGCTCCTGCTGTCGATGCTTGTGGTTTTGCAGTCTGGGATGGGCTGCATCCTGGGCAGATCTCTACCTGCAAGGAATGCCCCGCTTTAAAGTTGACCTCCTGGCCATGCCAAACAATTCCTGTCCAGGTAGTGGGTGCTCAGTGTCCTGATAACTGAGTCAAAGTTTCTGAGACTCGGCTAGTACTTTGCACTGGTCGCCAACGGTGTAGGGCTGGGCAGTGCGTCAGCATGTGGAAAGGGGCCACCGGCCAGCGGGAGGTGGCCGGTGCTAGGGAACTGGGCTGACAGGGTTTGTTTCTGATCCCAGGGCAGTTCGTGCATTCTCTTTTGTACCTCTCAGGTAGGATCATAGAAAATGTACCAAAATTTAGGTGGTCACTTGCAGAATTGAGAGTTTCATGTAAATATTGAGAAATGTCAACCTCATTATTCTAATGGTGGGGAAAACTTTTGCTTGCCTGACAGATTATAGCGCTGTTTGGAAACTGATTTCAATGTCCTGCATTTTTGGTATTGGCAGGGTTAGGGATTAAAAAAAATTTAAATTTTCTTTTACATGGTGGGGGTAGATAGTTGCTTGTTACGATTCCGAAAACACGGCATCATGAAAACGTTTTGACTTTTCTCATAATAGTTTATGGCTTCTGCCGCACGTCTGTAGACTATTGGAAGTGGATTTTGTTCATGGAAAATATTGGTCCACAAGTTGCTAGTACTGGAAAACTGGCCTGTGATTCATTATCTCAACAGAGTCCCATGTGAAGCTGATAATGAAATTACAGAGGAGAAAGACCAGATGAATTTAATTTATTCATTATCATCAAATTGTATTAAATGCGTACCTGGTTGGGGAGTTAGTTGAGACTGAGCTAGCCTGGTGTCTCTATTAAATCAAGTCAAAACTTGCCCTGATATTAGGTATTAACAAGTCATCTGGGGAGACGTGGATGTAGTGGCACAGTGTTTATATGTATATATACCGTATATTGTGTTCTAGGAAGCTAGAAACAAGGTGGTAGGTCCAGTGCTATTGGGACATATAGTGAATGTAGTTATTTGATGGGAATTTTTATATATTATAATTCCTAGAATTTTTGTTCCTTTGCTGATTGTTTCATGATTCAGATCATTTTCTTTTCACTCTAGTAGTTACTATGATGCTTTTAATTTGAATAGCAGAATTTTATTAGGCATGTGGAACAGTTTCATATTTATCAGCTCAGCCAATTCTAAATCTGTGACTTCTAAAAACTGGTAATTAAAATTTTTTCTTTGCCTTAACCCAAACTTGAACTCGTTCAGTTACTGTATATTTGTTTGAACTCAGATGATACAGCATTAAAACTGATAGTCCTTTTATCCATTATTTTGGAGTAGTCAAAAGGAATTCTGTTGTGCCAAGTAAAACTATTATGAGTGGGAGATAGCCAGGCTTCTAGAGATTAGCTTTGAAGAGAGTAGTAGCTAAGAAGCAAAGCTTTTTTATTGAGGGTATGGAACTGGGTCTGCATTTCAGCCTGCCAGTGTCTTGAAGTCCTGCGGGGATGATTGTTCCTGGATAGAGGGTGTTTGGACAATGACATAGATACTGTAGGCTATGGGATTCCCAGACACAAAGCTTTTTTTGCTGTGTCTCACAAGTTTTAATGAGTTGCTGCATGTGTATGGCTCTTGCTTTATATAAATAGGTTAGCCACTGGGTCTGAGCATGGCCAGCAGCCCAAGGCTATACCAGCCTCTGGTACTGCAAAGACAGCTCTGGAATTTCTTATGGAGTTCGTCTTCTGAGCATTTGCCACCACAAATAGTAGAGGCAAAGGAAGTGCAGACTTGAGCCTGAGATATGGTAAAACATACTCAGTGTTTAAGGAGAGGTTTAATATTGTGATCATGGAGAAAGACATTGCTTGACTTAACCCGGCTTTTCAGAGTGGTGAATAATTTTCACCTGATGGTCAGTATTTGCAATTGGGTAAGTACAATGACTATCAGCAGACCCTAATAAGAAAGAGTTAATGAAAGTAAGCAGAGCTCGCATCTCAACATTGCCTTCTTTATACTTCTTTTACTTCCCATACTGCACTCATTCAACAGATAGGATGCCATAATTGTTTGAGTATAGCAAGTCTGTGCTCGTGGTGACTCCTTTTTGTCATCCTTTGGTGTTTTTTGGTGTAATTTTGGGGGATTTTCCTGGGAAACTTCTAGGCATATATTCAGTTGATTTGGAGTTAGATTTGGGCTAAGATTATTAGCCTATTTGAAATTTTGAGCCTTTTTGTTTTCTAAGTAAACTTAAAAATAGAAAACACAATTCTTTATAAACACAATTCTTCATGAAAAATCTGTTACAGACTGTGTTGTTGTGATAGACATAATACAGCCAAAAATATGTTCAAGAAACTTCCCTTCTCCTCACCCAGTTTAGTAAGCTTAAATAAGAAGTAAGAAAATAAAGTATTTCTTTTTCAGTAAGAGCTTGATTTTCTCAGAATATCAAGTCTAACAACTGTTTGCTGTGCTATTTTTCCCCATGCCTATTCTAAATTCAACAAGTACTATGTGTCTCTAGTCCATGGCAAAAACTTAATTCTAGTAGGGAATTCTCAGTAGTGGAAGTCTCTTTGAAGGATGCAAGCTTGTGCTGCAGAGTTTGACAGGGAAGCATCAGATACCGAAATTTACTTTTTCGTAGCACGGGTTTTCTCTGTACTCAGATTTTTAGTGGGTGGGGGCATGGGCTTATATCACAGGCAGTTGGATTTTTCACTCATACTCAAGATTCCCTCCTCCCCCTCCTGCCCCCTCCTCTCCCCTCCTCATCCCCTAACCCTTTGCTAAATGAGCCGCTGCTGCTAGTAGGAGGGTGTTGTATCCCTCTGTTGTGTGTAACTGAACAAGGGCTAAGAACCTTGGCCTTTGGCTGATACTTCCTAAGCCATGTTTCCACTCCCTGTAATTTGCCTTCTGGTGATATCAATAGGCATCTCTGTTACTCTTATTTTTGAAGATGAATATAGATTTTGGTGGTGAAGAGATTACATGTGTAAGAGTGAGATTTGCTGCATTGTGTAGTACACATAGACAGGTAGATTGTTTAGCTGAACATTTATGAACTGCTTTGACTGTGACTCAGAGTAAAAAAAATACATTTTATACCCAAATTCAACACACACATACATGCGCGCGCGCACACGCACACACACACACACACACTTTCACACTCATATGCGAAGCTGTAAGGAAAGTTTGGCAAAGCAAGACGTATCTTTTCAGGACCTTGCTGGAGCTGGCTCATCTGTTGGCTTGCAAGAGCAATTTTGTGCCTTTCTCTTCCCACCTACCTGCACGTTCAGTGACACCATGTTGGTAACTTGAAATTGGCTGCAGTGGGAGTATTTATACCAGGGAAGTCAGCAAATGTTAACAATTGAGAGCTTTTCTCTCTTCTCATAGCCGGTTGTTGAACATTCACAGTACACCACACCACTGCCTACAACACACTTTGATATTTTCTATTCTATTTCATTTTGGTTAAAATAAATGCTGGATTTTGACCCCTAAATTTATTTTACAGCCGGATAATGGATAAGAGCCTATAGTTAAAAACTGATTTAAGACACCTTCTTGACTTTGTGGATGAAGGTACTAAAAGATTGAAGTTCAAGGTCATATAGCTAATTATTAGCAAAGCCAGGTCTGCAGACTCCTAATCTAGAATTGTTTCTAGTGGACTTCTCTTTTCCTAACCCAAGCCATGCATGTAGCTCAGTTAGAGTGCTTAATATGTGTAAGACATTGTGTTAAGTAGTTTGAATAGAGATGAGTAAGACGTGAGCCCTGACCCTGAGGCTTGTGCTCATGTGGGGGATTAAATGTGGAAACAAAGATAATGTAAGGCAGAAAGTAATGTGTGGTAAAGAGATAAAGATAAGGCGGTAAAGAGTTTAGAGAGGAGGGAGAGATTACTTTAGTTGTAAGGATAAGGAGAGAGGTGACATTTAAACCTTCCTTTGAAGAATGGGTAGGATTTGGACATATGGAAATAGGACAAATAGTATACAGAGAAAGGCCTTTCTAGGCCAGGGGCCAGGGTGATCAAAGGCGTAGAGGGAAAGGGCTGGGCAAGAAAGAGTCAGTCAGCACCAGATGGTGAAGAGCCTTGAATGCCAGTTTTCCTTTTTACTTTTCAGCTTGTCTTTCATTTTTGTCTCTGGAGTCATCGAGTACTTCTTAGCATTAAATAAGCTTTATATGCTGTGTTCCTGATTAGACCATGACCCAGAAAGCACTTAAGTATCCTTAGACTAAAAGCTGAGGGAAAAATTATTAGTGTAAGGGAAACAATCTTGAGTTTACCATTTCTAAAACTGTTGAAAAGAAAGGGAAAATGCTTCCTTTGTGAGGCGGTATCATTATTTTTTGTTTTGCCAAATAGCATCAAATTGGCTGTAGCAGAACAGGAAGCAGTTTTGAAAGTCTTTTCAGAGTACCCTCT